TATCTATCTAAATCTTATCTTCTCTTCTTTCACAGCACAAGTCTCTTCGCAATGGAAGGTATAGGCGTGGTGATGCCAATAGAAAATGAAATGAAGAAACCTCAAGACTTCCTTGGATGTCCAGGAGTCCTCAATGCTGCCATGTCTGCCATAGCCGTGATGTACGGCTTCGTTGGATTCATCGGTTACCTGAAGTATGGTGATGAAGCCAGAGGCAGCCTGACACTCAATTTACCACAGGAAGAAGTGTAAGTTTCATATTATATTCTTTACTAGCTACCTGCGCGGTTTCACCGACTTTCAGCCAATATTGGTCGTAGCGTGATTTTTATAGTCACAGAACATATAAAGAAGGCTAGTCATCCTCTCACTATGCAACACAAATATAATGATTCAAATGCGCGTTTAAACGAACAAGCAAACAAACACTTCAGTTTTTGTATAAGATAAGATGACATTATACCTTGGGATCAGTCGCGGAGAATCTAACGGGTAACCGGGGCTCCGGCTCGACGTGCAGGAGAAGGGACGGGGTGGTGTTTAATCAGTAAGAGTCTGACACTCCCTCCTGCCTCACCCAGGCGGGAGCAGTCATTCGATGATTGTCCCCCCTTAAAAAAAAAATAAAATGACTTTGGGATCAGCGAGTTCTGATGGCTTTTGTCACTTAGTCAGAAGTGCGTAACAATGTTCATTTGATCCTCTTCTACAAAAGAGGTCTCTACACATACAACTATGATAGTTCAACAATGGTTGATGATGATAGAAATATGAATGTAATTTTTTTTTTTTCTATTACAGATTAGCTCAAACCGCGAAGCTCTTAGTGGCTTGTGTGATGCTGCTGTCCTTCACTTTGGTATACTACGTCCCTGTTGATGTGGTTTGGAGGAGAGTCCAGGACAGGATACCAGCCAGAGGACACCGATGGGCCCTCGCCGGCATCAGGTTCTTTGGAACTTTATTGCTAGGTAAGATTATTTATTTAAAATCTTTAACTATTCGGTAACGCCTGATGATATTCGTATAGCAATACTCCGATACTCACATAACATAACACCACGCCTTTTATCCCCAAGGGGTAGGCAGAGGTGCACACAGAAGTAACCACTTTTCACTATTTATCATTTAGGAGACAGTACAAACAAACCATTACTTCAGAATATCACTAAAACTGTCTTTAATCGGTAGACGTTCAAGTTAAACCTTCAATTACCTAGTTCAGGAGCTCATGACACAAAATTTACAAAGTTGCTTCATTTATTATAGTACTTTGGTAATTCCTCGTCACTGCACCGCAAAACGTTAAAGCTTACATCATCAACGAAACTTATGCATTGAACACCTTAGCGTAGTTCAGTAGTTCGATAATTCGGCAGTACGGCAAAATTTGGCTCTAAAACTAACGCCAGGCGTTCAAGGATTTCGATTTACTGAACAAATTAATTGCTGTGTTGGGAACAGGATTTTGCAATTTAATTTATGCAGATGTTATTGTACATTAGTAAATACTTTAATTTGTACATACATATAAGCATACAACATACCTTCTTAGGGACCTCCTAACCTGTCTTTATTGTCGCGGAGAACCTAACGGGTAACCGGGGCTCCAGTCAGTAAGAGTCTGACACTCCCTCCCGCCTCACCCAGGCGGGGGCAGTCATTCGATGATTTTCCCCCCTTAAAAAAAAAAAAAAAAAAACCTGTCTTTATTGTGCCTCTGAGATCAAAACAAAACAATTTCCGTTGAGTTTTTATGGATTACTAGTAAGAACTTTATTAAGCTGAGTTCTAGCCTTTTGCGCTGCGACGCACCATGGGCTTTTTTATGTACCTACCTTAATTCTTGTTGTGTGTCGTGGCAAAATATATGGTATTTCTTTCTTTCTTTCTATATTCTATATTTAAATGTAGTGCAAAGTTTTGAATCCAATCCCACAATTTGATTCAAAGTCAAAGTCAAAATCATGAATTACCTACCTACTATATATATATATACGTATATATATATATATAATATGTAAGTTTTTAAATCGTTATATCATGGATATTCATGACACATTAAAAATGAAATGGGTTAATCGATTCCAGTAACTAATGTTTATTTTCTTTCACAGTCGGTATCGCCAGTGCAGTGCCAAGATTGGAGTTATTTATGGAGCTGGTAGGAGCTATCTGTTTGTCCATCATGGGCCTACTTCTTCCAGCAGTGGTAGAAACTGTGTTCAGGTGGAACAAGGACATTACAATACATTCTTTCGTTGTATGGAAGAATGTAGTTATAGGAATATTTGCGCTAGTTGCCATGTTCTCCGGAGTAACCTCCGCCATCATGGCGATTGTAAACGAACTGTGATCATCTATTTTGTAAATTATAATTAGTTTTAAAAATATTGTAAGTCTACAATGTAATGTTAATTTATAAAATGTGATGTTCGTTCTAATAATAACTATGTTTTAGAAAACTTTGTTGTAAATAATAATTCAATAATAATAATATAGGTTTTAATTTTATTTTGTGGTTTAATTTTATTGGAGGTAATTCGTCTTTATGCAAATTAAACAGTTGTAAATATTTTTGAGAAAGAATTTACACTACTGCTAATAAATACATCGAAGAAACTATATATGTATATTAGGTACTATAAGTAAGTATCACTATTTAGCTATAATCTTACCTGCCTTTAGGCTTTTAGGCTTACCTAAAGGCACAAAACAAACTGCACGACCAAGGAAAATTTTACTAAAAACTAAACGGATCCTATGTGTAAGCTGTTATATGAAGGACAGAAACGCCTAAACGCATGGAAACTTGTTTTAGATTCCACAAGATCCGTATAATAAACCTGATACACACACAAAGCATACACCAAAATACATGATAGGTTTTTAACATAATATTTTAATACTCTATAGTGTAGCCTTAATTAAAGGCTGCCACGACATGCATTATAAAATTAAATTATCTAACACAGTGTTACGTTCACATTGCCAGAGATCACACTCCCACAGTATGTGATGGACGGAATTCATAATAGTAGTATAGAGTCTGAAGTCCTACAAGCCCTACCGTTAAATATAACCAGCTTTAAACTTTAAGTATTCTTCTATCTATCTAAACCAGTCATAATATTGGATTACATTGCAAAAAAAACTGAATTTACATGAAATATGAAGTATGTTTGTAATAATTATAGTCCACAGTCCACATTACTCTCCGCGTATTATCATCAAGGTCTTATTCCTAATGACACACGGCCACTGAAGTTCACTGGACCATACATACGTATGTAATTGTCGTAATTCTATGCTTTTATACTATATATTTATTTAGTACTATAAGCCGTGCTATTCTGAAAAGCCATCTCAAAACTGAACATGTCAAAATACTCACTTTCAAAATCACCTGGTGGTGCTATAAATACTCACCAGACATGATTGTTCCATTGGCGGTAGTGACGGATTCATATATTTTCAAAAAGTGAAACTTTAATAATTTCAGAAGATGTTTCGCAAAATAAATCTGAAGCCGTGCTTAAGAGCACGGCTGACCCGAGATACAACATGGGAGAACAACATAATTTGTTACGAGTTAGCCGGCTCGACCAGAATGTTACCACGATCTGAAAAGAAAACGTCGTGAAATAACTCTTGTACTGTGTTTCGCTAACTGAGCGAGGGTACCAGAGGCTTAATTCTTACGGAAATCCCTAAATCCCCAATATTCAAATCCCCAAAAAACCAGCAACACACTTGTAATTTCTCTGGTTTTACGGATGTCCGGGGGCGACACAACGTACCGATTGCTTGCCATCAGGTGACCGTGACCCATATGCTCGTTTGCCACCCTATTAGAGTATCACCCTATACTTGTTGTTTCACGCCAGTTTTCTGTTTAGCCGTGGTATCACGCTTGAGCCACCTCATTCGTGCTGAAGCATTTTTCCCACATCTCTTTCTCACTCTCCCACATTCCTACTCCTTCGTGGAATATAGACAAGACTTTAAGTTATCGTGGTGAAACTTAAATTACACTATTCGTCAGTTAAGACATTATTCCACCAGCTGAAACATTGGATATATAGTAGGTAATTACAAATACCCAAGTATTTAAAGTCATGATGACTAGCACTTAACTTTTACCTTGAAGAGACGAAGTTTCCTGCCAAATGTATGATTAAACATGATTAGACGAATGCCACGTGATCTCCACATGTGACTATGACTGAAGTTTTTTTCAGGAAATCTTTTAGGTGTTGTTTTCTAAAGACTATATTATTATTATTCTAATCGAGTTAATAGAAAAATCAATGTAGGTATAGGTTTCACAGCAGAAATTTAATATGTCTGACATCAGACATTACAAAACGATTCAAAGTGTGTATTGAAATTCATATTTTCATTCAACGACGAAATAATTAAAGTTTAGAATATAACATAACATAACTTCACGCCTTTTATCCCCGAAGGGTTAGGCAGAGGTGCACATTATGCCACTATACAATGTAACACCCACTTTTCATTATTTATGTTATGAGTCCCATATAACAGGAGGTGAACCTATTTCCATATACCGGTCACAATACCAGACTACTACTGAGATTTTAAAAAAAACCAGTAGTACTTTGCTCGACCCGGGAATCGAACCCGAGACCCCTTGCCCGGCAGTCGAACTAGCGTCCACTCGGCCAACGAGGCAGTCTAAAGTTTAAAAAGGTCTATAATATTATACTTGGCTTAGTTAAACCATTTTTGGACCACTCTTATTAATTTCAGGGGTTCAGTTAAACACAATGTTAACAATGAAACGAATGAGCGCGCGTGGATTTGCATAAATTGATGCCTTCAAAACATTGTAAGCCAGATAAGATGATTCAATTTTTTCTGAGTAAAATAATTTCTAACTCTAGATAATTGACTGAACAACAACTAACAACATTAACTATGAAACCTTTTAACATTTAAGAATTGGACTAACAATGAAAAGCGACACTTTCTGCAAATTCATTTATGATAAATAAATATTCTTAGACTTAAAACAAGAATAAATAAACTTAACTATGTACTTAGTAAACTTTTCCATAAGCCTTGCCATTTCTAATTACGATTCTTACAATCCCGTATGTTTAGTGATAAAGTCCCTTATAGGGGGCGCGGCAATATCGGCGAAGACGCTCGGTGAGAACCGCTGGCCACAACCACGGCCAAAAGAAACGATACCCACTGCTTGATCGTTCTGGACAGCCGTACCACCAGAGTCACCCTGTAAAAGCATTCATGAAATAAGTTTGATAAAGTGATTCGCAAAATCTATATAAAAGAAAGAAAAGAAAGTCGTGTTAGTTACACTATTGCAAGGTAGATTGCGAGACCGGCTACATCGATGTGGCTGAAAATTGGAGGAGCTGAGAAACCAGGAGACGGACATAGGATGCTTTTATCTAAGGATATCCCGAAAATCCGAAAATTTTACGGGAATGGTATAAAACAGAATGATATCTACCTCTATAATAATAAAAATAAGTAATATACCCAAATTAAGTTTAATTATCATTATATCAGGATAATTTAACATTAGTGAAAATTATCTCAAAAAGTGTATTCTATATTAGAGTTGTAATTTATGGTTGCGTTTACCATAAATTACAACTTTATTAACCGTTCCCGTGCCATAATCTTTGCTTTACCTAAAATAAATAAATAATTCGTTTGTAACAGCCCAAAACCACACTTACTTTGAACTTATTTTTCCTTAAAAACAAACGTGATCATAGATATAACGTCACGTATTTTATTCTCCAAAAGAGTTCGCAAAGGCATTTGGACGATAGCCGTATGTGACCAAATTCATTCTTACCTGACACGTTCCCTTGCCACCAAGATAGAAGTTGCCTCCACACCACATGTTCCTCGTGAGCACCGTGAAGTATACCGCAAGGCACTGCCAGTACGGCACCACAGGGATCTCCACGTCCATTAGATTCTCTGGTATTGTGTTGTCTGCTTGCTGAAATTATCAAACAATATTTCATACATCATCATCATCAGCCATAAGACGTTCACTGCTGAATAAGTGCCCTCCCTAGGCCTCCACGTCATAGTGAAAGGGTTACCATAATTGTAATTCCCACACTTGGCAGGTGACTTGGGGATGTAGTTAGGTCACCGGTATATTTTAGCGAATGGCCTTGTCGCAATTTTAGAACGAAGTCGGGTTCATATTTCATACAATATTAACAAAAATTTCCACTTCACTAGTTCATCAAAAATACTTGGGGCCAGGATGAAGCCCGAAATCTCAATATCAAATAATCTTCACAACTACCTGATACCATTATGTTATAAAGATAGAAGGTCATAAAAGGACCAAAAACTACCCATTCCAACTTCAGCCAATGCCACGGTAAGTGATTAGTCGCGCCCTTGATCTCGACAGGCATCGACTGTCTGTGATGGTCTGACGCCTCTATGAAGCACGGGAAACGCGGCTGTCTCTGTAGACGCCTTAACCTAACATACAGATCCTATGATAGAAAAACCAAAGAGCTTCAAACTTACATTAGTTTTCCCCCATCCGCTGACCATGATCATGGAATTTTCTTTCAAATACTCTCCTTTTTTCGGTAATGCAATCGGTTTTATGGTGTCAGTGAAAGTGATTGGTTCTGCCGTCTTCATCACCGCTACGTCCTTGTCGAAAGCTGGGTTGTCATACTCCGGATGAGCAATCACTTCAACAATGGGTATAATTGTGCCATTTTTTCTCCAAGTACTCCCAGCTCTAAGGACGACTGTCGATGGGTCGACACTGTTTGGTTGGAAAGTACAATTAGATAGAAGATACTATTAGATAGAAGGGCCTATATTTATCATCAATCAGCACTTCAAATAACACTTTTCTATGCTTCTAACTCAGAGCTGAGTGTGACCGCATGCAGTAAAATTGACAAGACACTCTTAGTTCTATAGATTGTTCACAAACATTTAAAACATCGAACTTGGTCTAAGTATAGATACTTGTCGCGGAGAACCTAACGGGTAACCGGGGCTCCGGCTCGACGTGCAGGAGAAGGAACGGGGTGGTTTTTAGTCAGTAAGAGTCTGACACTCCCTCCCGCCTCACCCAGGCGGGGGCAGTCATTCGATGATTTTCCCCCCTTAAAAAAAAAAAAAAAAAAAAAAAGTATAGATACTTACTTTTGAGCACAATGGGCTGCAGTCACGATATAATTCTCACTCACAATGAACCCTCCACAAAAGAAGGAGTTGTTCACAACAAACGATACTTGGTGGGGGTGCTTTTCTATGGTAGTATTCTGGCCTCCAACGATCCGATTGTTGAAAGGTTCGGGTCCGTACAGAAGATCTTCTACTGTTGGGACATTTGGGAAGCCAAAATCAAAAGGTGATACTGGAAAATAAACAATATTGTCTTATAAAACTTATGTCTTAGGCGATGAACACAAAAGATACGGTTGAATAGTTACGTAGTTACATTTTGATAGACAGCAAGTTCAAGTTTCATGAACATACGATTTCTAAAAACTACACCTTTATAGGTACAACATAGGCACATACATACCAAAAGCTTTTATAAGCTAATCACCATTTAAAACAAAACCTTCACTCACCTGGATTTAACAAAACCAATGCAAAAACTGGTACTATACTCAAACTAAACATTGTTCTTGCTTCGTTTATTTTTCACAAAATAAGGGCGAACTATTCACTCATCGTTTTATATGGAACGCTTATTATCTGTTAAAACGATATACAAAGCACCCACATAGTTTTATTGAATTTTTCTGTCATAACACTACTGGTCGTCAGAAGTGATAACCTTCGGGGCTCTAGCTAGATTATGTGCTCTGACTAAGGTACTGAATCTATAGTTCGACGCACACTTACAACTAATCGTATCGATTAATCGCAAATGTATACAAAACTGAAAGCGACGATCATCAATTTGCAATTTAAAATTAAATAATTTCTATAGGATCGAGTAGAAGAATTCAAGTTCACCCCCTTAGATTATGTGATGGAATTATAAAACTAGTGTTGAAAATGAGTGTATCAATGTAAATTGCACCATGACGGTTTAAGCAGAAAACAAATTGATCGACAAATTAGTCGCAAGTGTGCGCTCAAAGAATAAAAGCAGATCCCGTTATACTAATAAATAATGGAAAACATTTGTCGATCGACGAATAGCAAGCACGACTTGCATGGCTAATGAGAGTAATACCTAGTTTAGACACGTGACATTTGTCGCATTTAGCGACGTTTAGATAAACCCCGTCTTGTTCGTTCTTTAAAGAAATTATTAATGTTTTTATGCCACCTAGGAAATGGTTTAAAACAACAATCCGTTTTAACAAAAGACACAAATCGCCTCTTTGGTTGAATTATCAAGATATCTCTAATTCCTGGTTTTTAGAAAATATATCTAAGTGTACCTACTGTGCATATTTAATAGACTCACTGTCGCACTGTTACAGAGGATCATAGGGTATAACATAACTGGTAAAGGTGAGTGTAGCATAGAACCTCTACCCTCATTTTATAACAATCGCAATTGTGCGCACGTCCTTAGATCTATCGTGACGCATTCGCTGCAAGTAATTTACGGCTGTGATCACGCATGGCATCCTAAATCCGGGTGCGAGAAATTTCAATGCCAGCAGCATTGAAATTTCTCTTTCTTTCCTTGAGTGACGTCATTCATAATGAATACCACCACCATTAGCATATTTTCTTTGAAGAGTATGATGTCGCGAGGAACCAGTAAATGTAGGTAAGTGGCGAGGAAGTACGTGTGGACTAAGAGGGAGGCTTTTGTTCAGTTGTGGAGGTCTTCAGGCTGCTGATGATGTACTTATGGTGTTTAAAACTTTGACTGCCAATAGAAAACTGTTGAAGGCAATTCATTCGCTAACATCGGTCATCGGTGACCCCCATGGCGTTTCACTTGTTAAAAGATCAGTCCGTATGTCTCTGAGCTGTTATACTTGAACGAAGACCAAACAAGATCACAAAAATGCAAACAATCCTAAGCTACTGCTAAGTAGTTCAAAATGCGAAAGTGATCGAACTTGAAATCCTTTGTTGGGTCGTCATGATTGCCAGTATTGCTAAACCTCAATGAAGTAGTCAAAGTCGACGATCGCCAACCAGTCTGTGAGGCAGAGAAATTATGGCAGACTCCCTCACTTCGACCACCAAAATTGAGCATATAAAGACACAAACCATTTAACCAATGTTCATAAATACGCCAATAAATAAACAGAAGGTCCCATCCTTAGAGATAACTAAAGAAACCTGACATTAAATAATGTCAGAACAGCTGTTACAATATACACCATCGTACATACAGCTACAAATCAAGCTACGCAATCCCAGTATAAACTGGTATTACAATGTGCGAACATTTGTATGAAATGTGAGTTCACGATAAACTGGTTTTGCTCAGTGTGTACAGGCCATCAATCTTGTTGCACGTCCAATCCATGTCGACCTCTTTGGTCCTTTGAGACGCAAAGAAACTAAGGACCTTTCTAACCTGGTCAGTTCATGTACTTTATTATATGCTATAGCAGTAAGCTATAAAGCGTAATTTGATGGCCAAGGAATATATAGAGGTAGTTATATATATATAATAATGATTGTGTAACACTCACTATAGGTCATGTAAATTGTTTATTCGTGATCCACACTGAAGTCGCCGCGACTTCTTCTGTTTCCGCTCGATAAATACACCATCTAACACAAAAAGAATTATTCAAATCGGACCAGTCGTCTTTTTATGGCATAAGCCGGTATACAAGCAGACGGATCACCTGATGGTAAGCGATCGGCGTCGCCCATGGACACCTGGAACACCAGAGGCGTTACAAGTGCGTTACCGGCCTTTGAGGATTAGGATTTTGAGGATCGTTGAGGATTCAGGAATTGGGGGGATTGGGGAAGGGGACGGTAATTGGGCCTCCGGTAACCTCACTCACACGACGAAACACAACGCAAGCGTTGCTTCACGTCGGTTTTCTATGAGGCCGTGGTATCACTCCGGTCGAGCCGGCCCATTTGTGCCAAAGCATGGCTCTCCCACACTTTTCCTAAAATTAGTGCAACTAACTCTTCTGCTTTATATAGCACTAGCGACTCTGGCGCGGTTTCACACGCTCTAGGCTGCTATTGATCGCAGCGTGATATTTTATAACCTTCCTCAATAAATGCCCTATCCGACATAAAAAGAATTATTCAAATCGGACCGGTCGTTCCTGAGATTAGCACGTCCAAACAAACAAACAAACAAACTCTAGCTTTATACATATAACAGTATAAGATAAGTATTTATAAAACATTTTTATTGTCCATTAAAATTAAAATGGTATTTTAATGTTCAATTAAATCAGACCCTGGATCATAACTAGTTGTAATGTGATATATTAAAGTGCATGACAATAATTTATCTCTAAGGCATAAAGGTTAATTGATTACTGATACTAAACTACATTGTTATGTTAACTATGGACATATTATTAGCTTCTGTCAGGGGCTTCGCACGGTTTATCACAATAAGTGAATTATATTCCATATCTCTGCTATACCCCTTCCCGATATAATAATATGCACTATGTAACACAAGATTGCCTCGTTGGCCGAGTGGTCACTAGTGCGACTGCCGGGCAAGGGGTCTCGGGTTCAATTCCCGGGTCGGGCAAAGTATTGCTAGGTTTTTAAAAAAATCTCAGTAGTAGCACGGAGTCTGGAATTGTTCCCGGTATATGGCAATAGGCTCACGCCCTATTACATGGGACTCATAACATAAATAGTGAAAAGTGGGTGTTACACTATACAGTAGCGAAATGTGCGCCTCTGCCTACCCCTTCGGGGGTAAAATGCGTGATGTAATGTTATCCAACACAAACTTGACCCGGGAATCGAACCTGAGACCCCTTGCCTAGCAATCGTTCTTGCCACCACTCAGCCAACAAGGCAGTCACGAAATACATCGTATATGTATGATTTAAATTACCCCAAAATAGTTTAATTACCGATTACTATTTTTTATGGCAATAGCCGGTATAGGAGCAGACGGATCACCTGAAGGTAAGCAATCGGCGTCGCCCGTGGACACCTGGAACACCAGAGGCGTTACAAGTGCGTTACCGGCCTTTTGGGGATTAGGAGTTTGAGGATCTTTGGGGATTCAGGAATTGGGGAGATTGGGGAAGGGGAGGGTGGTTGGGCCTCCGGTAACCTCACTCACACAACAAAACACAACGCAAACGTTGCTTCACGGCGTCGGTTTTCTGTGAGGCCGTGGTATCACTCCGGTCGAGCCGGCCCATTCGTGCCGAAGCATGGCTCTCCCACACTTAACTATTAGTTACTATTTTATATCATTAAAAATGTATACTCCTCTTTACTGTTAAGAGCTAAATAAATACCCAGGTATATTACTAACTCACATGTAATGTAAAATTCATGAATAATACATTGAAACTGTTTTGCCCTCATTTCTTCTACGTACCTCTTGTTAGCAAGGACGGTAGGTATCATCTGTGGCACGTTTTGCTGGAATATTTCCTAACAAATCATACTGCGAGACTAGATTTTAAATTATTATACTTTTGAATGCAGTTTTAGTTTTAACAGTACCTATTTGTTCATTAATAAATTTCGAGAAGAGATCAATTGGTCCTTTCCACGACAGACTGACTAATTGATATCGTTTTTGATTTTCTTAACTTGAAACCTAAATAAAATAGTAAATAAACCTAACCCTAGGACAAGATTATATTATATTTATTAGATATTATCTTACTTTTGACGAAGCGTACTTAGAAGGAGTAATTAGTACAAAAATCTTTCAAGTGTGGGAGAGCCATGCTTCGGTACGAATGAACTGGCTCCACTGGAGGAATACCACGGCTTCACAGAAAACCGCCGTGAAGCAACCCTTGCGTTGTGTTTCGTCGTGTGCCTAAGGCGCGGTGGTTGGACAACTGACTACCGCACAACGTGTCGCGGGTTCGATTCCCGCACGGAACAATTATTTGTGTGATCCGCAGATTGTTGTTCCGGGTCTGGGTGTCATGTGTATGTGAACCTGTATGTTTGTAAACGCACCCAAGACACAGGAAAAAATCCTAGAGTGGGGTAACGTTTTAAAAATTAATAAAAAAGAAATACAGGCACGCCCAAAGACCTTTTTAAAACTGTACTAGTGTTTCTATTACTTTCTTAAAGTATATAGCGAAATCGGGAAAGATCTTTGTAATGATGGGGCCGATATAATAAAATCCAATATTACAAATCTAATTAAGAACGCTATGCATCAAAATTTGAACTTTGATACACTAAACTTAAAGTAAAGTTTCATTAACATTATCAGTACCTATAACAAAGACAATGTCAACTAATTCTTTTCGCACTAACCTTCAACTACACCACGTAATTTTCCTTCACCATTATGTAATCTAAGGCGGCCATTTAATGAGTATGACGTCATCATAATTTATTCAATTAGCATCTATTATGTCCTTGGCAAACGTAAGATAAGTATTCATACATCATTGTATAGAAACTTGAGTTATAAAACAACTTCAAAGCCCCTTTCATTAGATGTCCAATTATAATTTACTAGCTTTTACCCGCGGCTTCGCTCGCGTCACAAAAGGATAAAAGGTAGCCTATGTGACATATACCAATACACACAGCGCCATCTATACCAATACTTTTGTTTTCCCTCGGGAATATCAATTTTTTCCGGGATAAAAAGTACCCTATTATTTTGCAGAAGTAGAGGTATATAAAACTCTACTTCTGCAAAAATTCAAAGCAATTGGAAGTAGTTACGGCGTGAAAGCGGAACAAACA